CCTTAATCTACACTCTTGTGACTCCCAAATATAATCTTCAAACTGGACCTATCCCCAGACTCATATCCAACTGCCTGCTTGACTTCTCTATTCTGATGTCTAACAAAGCATATCAAATTTAACATATTCAAAACTCAACAACTGACTTTCCTCCCCATATCGACACTTCCTATAGCTTTCCCCATTTCATTGGTGACACCCTCCTCTTCTTCACTCAGACTCCAAACCATGCTTGGCTCCCTTACTCTTACCCCATATCTAATCTGTCAGGAAATCCTGTTCCATCTTCAAAATATATCCACAATCTGATTCCTCCATTAAAGTCTTTCTCACCCAGATTGTTAAATCCTCCTAACTCATCTCCCAGCTTCAATTTGTATGCCAATGGAAGGTACATGGAGGGTCTCATTTGAATAGAGAAGCCAGGTTAATCCTTTAAAAAAGTATGTCAAGTTGCAGCACTCAAAACTCTCCAATGAGCTCTTCTTGGAGTAAAATCAAGCCTTTAGTAATGGCCTCTGATGGGCAGATCACTTAAGCTCAGGAGTTCAAGACCAGCCTGGGCAAAATGGTGAAACTCCCAGCCAGGTGTGGTGGTGGGCCTGTGCTCCCAGCTACTTGGGAGGCTGAGGTGGGAGGATTTGAGGTGGAGGTCTCAGCCAAAACTGTGCTGCTGCACTCCAGCCTGGTGAGACCCCATCTCCCCCTCTGCCACCCCGCCCAAAAAGCCCCCCAAAACACAAGGCCTCTGGGACTGTGATCTAGGGTGCTCCTACTCTGACTTCATCCCCAATCCCTCTCCTCTGGCTCATGGCTGCAGCTACTGGTGGCTCCCCTCAGCCTTGAACATGTCAAGCACTTGCCCATCACAGTTAGGTTCTCCTTCCCAGATCTCTAGAGAGATCTCTCTCCCTCTCTTCAGGTTTCTCCTCCAAGGTTACTTGGCCAGGGACCCTAACCACCCTCAATGCAACAGCAACACTGCCCCTGCCTGTGCGGGGCACACTATACTGCTCTTACTCTTCCTGGTTGTTAGTGCTCACCTGATTATTGCTTACCACATTTGGTTATTTTTTATCTCTTCCCATGAGGGGAGGGATTTTGTTTTGTTCACTGCTGCATCCCCAGAAGCTACAACAGTACCTGGCATATGATAGGTATTCGATAAATATTCACCAAATAATGACGGTCAGGCCCAAGCTAGAGATACAGACCTATTATTCCACTGTCCCGAAGCACCATGCCATACAGTTGGACAAGATATCAGTGAGATGAGAGACCCACAAAATTGGCATTCTTAGCAAACAATATAATTATTTATCATGCAAATCCAAAAGAACCATGTTGGATTCTCTTGGTTGCTGAACATAAGATCAACATACAAGGATCAAACTTTTCTACCTACTAGCTGTGACTAATTAGAATATGCAAATATTTTTTAAATGATCAATTTCACAAAACTCAACAAAAGCTACTAGAAAGTACCAAGGAATAAATCTAATAAAAATATGCAAAAGGCCAGGTGCAATGGCTCACACATGTAATCCCAGCACTTTGGGGGGCTAAGGCAGGAGGACTGCTTGAGCACAGGAGTTCAAGACCAGCTGGACAACACAGACCCCATCTCTACAAAAAAATCTCAAAGTCAGCTGGGCATGGTGGCACATACCTGTAGCCTCACCTACATGGAAGGCTGAGGCAGGAGGATCACCTGACCCCAGGAGGTTGAGGTTGGAATAAGCCGTGATTATGCCATTGTGCTCCAGCCTTGGTGAAACAGTGACTTTTTCTCAAAAAATTAAATGAAAATTAAAATATGCAAGACCTTCATAGAGAAATTACTCAAACTTGGATAAAAGGATATAACAGGATTCTTAAATAAATGGAGTGATAAAGTTGATTTATAGCTGAGAAGACTCAATATTTTACATGTATCAGTTCTTCCCTAATTAATCTATAAGCTCACTCTACTTTGAGCTTTCATCCCAACAGAATTTGTCTGAGTAACTTGATATACAAATTCTATAATTTGTATTAGAAGAATGAAGGTGTAAGAATAGTTTTTCTTTTTGCACAAAAAGGATAAAGAAGGGGCATTCACCCCACTAGATACCAAGGCATGCTACAAAGCCATGGTAATTAAAGTTATATTAACATAGCTGAGCATGGTTGGCTCACGTCTATAATCCTAGCACTTTGGGAAGCTGAGGCAGGTGGCTCACTTGAGGTCAGGAATTCCAAACCAGCCTGGCCAACATTGTGAAACCTCATCTCTACTAAAAATACAAAAACTACCCAGGCATCGGCCGGGTGCTGTGGCTCACACCTATAATCCCAGCACTTTGGGAGGCTGAGGCAGGTGGTCACCTGAGGTCAGGAGCTGAAGACCAGCCTGGCCAACATGGCAAAACCTCCCTCATCTCTAATAAAAATAACGAAAATTAGCTGGGTGTGGTTGCATGCACCCATAGTCCCAGCAACTTGGGAGGCTGAAGTAGGAGAATTGCTTGAACCTGGGGGGCAGAGGTTACAGTGAGCTGAGGTCATGCCACTGCACTTGAGATGGGGTGACAGAGCAAGACTCTCACACACACACAAAAAATATATAAATGGAGTTATATTAACACAAAAGTAGCCAAAAGAGGAACAGGACAGTGCCTAGAAACACACCCCTGCATAAGTAGGAATCTGAAAGATTATGACTGGCTAGCATCACTAACACTGAGGAAAAAAAAGAGGCTTCAAGCTGGGCGTGGTGGCTCACACTGTAATCCTAGCACTTTGGGAGGCCAAGGTGGGCAGAGCATTTGAGGTCAGGAGTTCAAGAGTGGCCTGGCCAACATGGTGAAACCCCATCTCTACTAACAAAATATAAAAATTAGCCACACTTGGTGGTGTGTGCCTGTAGTCCCAGCTACTCACGAGGCTGAGGCAAGAGAATTGTTTGAACCCAGGAGGCAGAAGTGCATTGAGCCAAGATCGTGCCACTAGAGTCCAGCCTGGGTGACAGAGATTCTGTCTCAAAAACAAAAACAACTAATGTTGTGAAACAAAGAAAATGAGAATGTATAAAGTGCTCATGGATTAAACACCTAAATAGGAAAAAACAAAACCCCCCAAACTTTGAAAATTTGGGAAAAAGTCTCTATTGTTGGACAAAAGAAACTGTTCTTAAGAAGCAGCTGAGGCTGGGTGTGGTGGCTCATGCCTGTAATCCCAGCACTTTGGGAGGCAGAGGTGGGTGGATCACCTGAGGTCAGGAGTTTGAGACCAGCCTGGCCACCAAGGTGAAACCCGTCTCTACTAAAAACACAAGAATTAGCTGGGCGTGGTGGTGCACATCTGTAATCCCAGCTACTTGTGAAGCTGAGGCAGGAGAATTGATTGAACCCGGGAGGTGAAGGTCGCAGTGAGCCAAGATGGAGTCATTGCACTCCAGCCTGGGTAACAAGAGCGAAACTCCATCTCAAGAAAAAAAAGGGGGGGTGGGGAGGGCACAAAATAAGAATAAACTATTAGAATTAAAAATTACAGTACATATACACCATGGACTACTCTATGCAGCCATAAAAAAGAATGGGATCATGTCCTTTGCCTGAGATATGGATGGAGCTGGAGGCCATTATCCTTAGCAAACTAACACCAGAACAGAAAACCAAATACCCCATGTTCTTATAAGTGGCAGTTAAATGATGAGAACATATGAACACATGGAGGGGAACAATACACACTGGACCTTGTGGAGGGTGGAGGGTGGGAGGAGGGAGAGGATCAGGAAGGATAACTAATGGGTACTATGCTTAATACCTGGGGGACGAAATAATCGGTAAAACATACCCCCATGACAAGAGTTTACCTGTGTGATAAGCCTACACTTGTACCCATGAACTTAAAAGTTGAAACCACATATATATAAAATAAAAATTACAGTGATGACACCATTAATTTTTAAAGACAAGCAATAATGTGGTTGAAAATATTGATTATATTATAATAGGCATAGTGTAACTATCCACATATATAAAGAACTACAAATTGATTTTTAAGTACTTTTTTTTTTTTTTTGAGACAGGATCTCACTCTGTTGCCCAGGCTGAGTGCAGCGGCATAATCATACCTCACTGCAGCCTTACTCCCAGGCTCAAGCAATCCTTAGTCTCCTGAGTTACTTAGTCTCCTGAGTAACTGGGACTACACATGTGCACCATGATGCCCAGCTAATTTTTTATTTTATGATTTTATTTTTTATTTTTTTTTGAGACATAGTCTAGCTCTGTTACCCAGGCTGGAGTGCAGTGGCACGATCTTGGCTCACTGCAACCTCCACCTCCCAGGTTCAAGCGATTCTCCTGCCTCAGCCTTCCAAGTAACTAGGATTACAGGGATATGCCACCACGCCCAGCTAATTTTTGTATTTCTAGTAGAGACAGGGTTTCACTGTGTTGGCCAGGCTGGTCTCAAACTCCCAACCTAGTGCTCCGCCTGCCGTGGCCTCCCAAATTGCTGAGATTACAAGCGTGAGCCACCATGCCTGGCCAATTTCTTATTTTTTAATTTTCATTTGTTGTAGACATGAGATCTCACTATGTTGCCCAGGCTGGTTTTGAACTCCTGAACTCAAGCAATCCTCCCACATCAGCCTCTCAAAAGTGCTGGGATTACAGGCATGAGCCACCATGCCCAGATGATTTGAAAAATATGACAATCAAACAGGAAAATGAAGAACATACAAGTAATTCACAGAAGTAAAGTTTGAATAGCCAATATTAAATAAAATGAAAATATACACAGCTTCTCTAGTAACCAAGTAAATGCAGAATAAATCAACTGGTTTTAATTTTCCACTTAACAAGTAAGTGATTTAAAGTCCAACAAGATCAAGTGTAAGTATACTAGGGAAATGGCAATTTTCAAACACTTGGTGTAAGGATAAACTGTTATAACCTCTTTAGGGAGCAATCAGGTAGAACTGATTAAAATATGTGTTTCCTCCCATCCAGTGATTCTGGCCAAGGTAAGCACCCCAGAGGAATTCTCCCATGTCATGGCAGAGAAACATGCACCAGGGTGTTGATGAAATGCTGAAAATACCAAAACATCATTAGGAAAACAGTCAAAGACAATGTAGTATATGCGTATGAATTTAACAGAAACAAACTAGAATTCTATGTATCAAAGTAGACAGAACCCCACACAGTGTTCAATATAAAACTGTTCTTTTGGCCGGGCGCAGTGGCTCACGCCTGTAATCCCAGCACTTTGGGAGGCCGAGGCGGGTGGATCACGAGGTCAAGAGATCGAGACCATCCTGGTCAACATAGTGAAACCCCGTCTCTACTAAAACTACAAAAAATGAGCTGGGCATGGTGGCGCGTGCCTGTAATCCCAGCTACTCAGGAGGCTGAGGCAGGAGAATTGCCTGAACCCGGGAGGCGGAGGTTGCGGTGAGCCGAGATCGCGCCATTGCACTCCAGCCTGGGCAACAAGAGCGAAACTCCGTCTCAAAAAAAAAAAAAAAAAAACACTGTTCTTTTAACTGCAGTGTAACAGTGGCCGTAACTGCTTCTTTGCTGTGGCAGATTGTATTTTCTGAGGGCCCCAGATTGTATTTTCTCCTGTCTCTCCTTCTCTTCTAAACCTTGATACTTCCTTATCAAGAGCTAGGGTCTAATACTCCCCTCCATCAACCTGAAGCCCTGCCTTGCGCTTGTGGCTTGCTTGTAACCTATCAAATACAGTGGAAGAGTTACCAGGTGACTTCCAGAGCTAGGTCAGAAAAGGTGATGCAGCCTCACCTTCAAAGGTTCAATACACTTGAGCCTGGAGCTACCAAGAATGCTGCCAGGCTGCAAGAGAGCAAAGGCACATGGAGGGACATACAGAGGGGCTCTGGCTGGCAGTCCTGGCCTTTGAGTAATCCTTGTCTAAGTGCCAGGCACACACAAGCTACCTTTAGGTAATTCCATCTCTCAGATGTCATGTTACCCCTGGCCCTCGAGTCTTCATAAAGCCCCAGGCTTTATGAAGAAGAAACAAGAGTCATGCTCTTTCTGAACTGCTGACATAGAGAATCCATGACCAAAATAAAATGGTTGTTTTGTGCCACTAGCACAGGAGTGATTTGCTATGCCCTTCCTGCTTATGTGCCTTTGTTCCCTCCATCTGGAATGCCCTTCCTCTCCCACACCTTGCAGATATCCTCTGAGGCCCTGCTATGAAAAGTATCTCCTTTGTGGAGTTCCTCAGAGATTTAAGCTGTGGTGGCTCACACCTGCAATCCCAGCATTTTGGGAGGCTGAGGCAGGCCGATCATTTGAGGTCAGGAGTTTGAGACCACCCGGGCCAACATGGTAAAAACCCATCTCTACTAAAAATACAAAAATTAGCTGGGCGTGGTGGCACGTGCCTGTAATCCCAGCTACTCAGGAGGCTGGGGCACAAGAATCACTTGAACCCAGGAGATGGAGGTTCTGGTGACCTGAAATTGTGCTGCTGTATTCCAGCCTGGGCGACAGAGTAAGACTCTGTTGCACAGACAAACACACACTTGTGGCCACAAGTCAGGGCCTTGAGTGGATGTACAGCATTTAATCAGAGAACCTTGGAATTTCAACAAAGAATATCATTCTTAAGAGACGGGAAACATTTGAACAGCCAAAAGGTAGATGCAACCCAAGCATCCGCTGGCAAATGAAAAGATACACAAAATGTGGTCTCTACATACAACAGAATATTACCCAGCCTTAACAAAGGAGGGAATTGTGACAAATGCTATGGATGAACCTTGAAGACATTATGCAAAGTGAAGTACGCCAGTCACAAAAGAACAAATGCTGCATGATTCCAATTATGTGAAGTAGCTAGAACAGTCAAACTCAGACAAAGTAGAATGGTAGCTGCCAGTGGCTGAAGGGTGGGAAGAATGGGGATTTCGTGTTTAATGAGTATAGAATTTCAGTTGGGGAAGACAAAAAAGGTTCTAGAGATGGATGGTGGGCATGGGTGTACAACAATGTGAATGTAACTAATGCCGCTGAATTGTACACTTGGCTGAAATGGTAAATTTCATGTTATATATATTTAACCACAATTCAGAAAAAGAAAGTATCTGAAAAGAACATTGTAAAGTTTAAAGGTTTTCAGGTTTAGACAAGAGGGTAATGCAAAATCCAGTCAAGAGAGACAGCCACCTGGGCTGGTGGGCACTGCCCAGTTCCCTGAGCAGTCAAAGGGACATGAGCTACGTGACTCCATGTGTCTTTAAGTTACAGTAACTGATACAGGGCTATGAAAAGGGCTCCCTCTAGAGTTCATGTTGAACAGCAGGAGTGGTGTTCTGGTTACCCAGAAACATCATATAAGACCCCTTACCTCCCAGGTAGACAGGGAGGTAATAACAATATTGTTTGGCATGATGTAATTTCCTTTGCATGTAAACATCTTCTTGCTACAGAAATAACTAAAATTAAGTATAGTATAGGAAAGTTAAAGAGAATTAAACCCACAGAATCACCCTACTGGGATTAAGCAGTCTGTGCACCCTGCCCCAGGCTTACTGTCTCACTCTGTGCTGTTCAGTACAGCAGGTACTAGCCACGTGTGGTTAGCACCTGAAATGTAGCTTGTCTGAGTTGAGATGTGCTGTAAGAGTAAAATATGGCTGGGCGTGGTGGCTCACGCCTGTAATCCAAGCACTTTGGAGGCCAAGGCGGGAGGATCACCTGAGGTCGGGAGTTCAAGACCAGCCTGACCAACATGGTGAAACAGTCTTAAAAAAAAAAAAAAAAAAAGTAAAATATACACTGAATTTTAAAGACTTACTATGAAAAGGAATATATGATATCACAGTAATTTTTTATATTGACTATACGGTGAAATACAGCTGACCTCTCAACAACGCAGGTTTGAACTGCATGGATCTACTTATATATCAATTTATATAAGTAGATCTGCCACCCCTGAGACAGCAGGACCAACACTCCTCCTCTTCTCCATTCCTCTTCCTCAGTGTACTCAATGTGAAGACAAGGATGAAGACCTTTATGACAATCCACTTCTGCTTAATGAACAGCAGATATATTTTCTCTTCTTCATGTTCCCCCCCACCCCGTTTTTTTTTTTTTTTGAGACAGGGTCTCACTCCATCATCCAGGCTGGAGTGCAGTCGCCCAATCTGGGCTCACTGCAGCCTCGACCTCCTGGGCTCAAGTGATCCTCTCTCCTTGTCAGCCTCCTGAATAGCTGGAATGACAGGCACATGCCATTATGCCTGGTGAATTTTTATATTTTTGGTAGAGACGGGAGTCTTTCTATGTTGACCAGGCTGGTCTTGAACTTCTGGGCTCAAGAGATCCTCTTGCCTTGGCCTCACAAAGTGCTGGGGTGCTGGGATTACAGGCATGAACCACCATGCCCAGCCTAAAGCCATTATTCTAAGAAGGGGTCCATAGAAGCCTTAAAACAAGACCCGCCCACACAAAACTACCAGGCAGCTTCTCAGTGCCTCAATTGTTTACCTTAAAGTTTTGTTAATATATGCTTATCATTAAAAAAAAAATAAGTGGAAGCACAAGTAACAAAAGGAAAAAATGGACTTTATCAAAACTAAGAACCTTTGTGCATCAAAATTCACTAGAAAGTGAAAAGACAGACTCCAGAATGGGAGAAAATATCTGCAAATCATATATATGATGAGGGTCCAGCACCAGAATATATAAAGAACTTACAATGCAGTAACAAAAAGACAAACCATCCAATTAAATGGGCAAAGGCCTTGGCCATTTCTTCCAAGAAGACATAGAAATAACCAATGGGCACATGAAAAAATGCTCAGTGTCATAAGGAAAATACAAATTAAAATGACAATGAGATACTAACTCATCTACTTCACAGCCGTTAAGATGGCCATAATTTTTTAAAAAGAGAGTAACAAGAGTTGGTGATGATGTGGAGAAACTGGAACCTTTATGCTTTGCTGGTGGCAATGTAAAATGGTATAGCTTCTATGGAAAACAGTTCAGCAGTTCCTCAAAATGTTAAACACAGCATTACCAGATGACCAGCATTTTCATTCCCCAAAGAATTGAAAACGGGCTTAAACAGACACTTGTACATGCCAATCTTCATAGCAGCATTACCCACAATAGCTAAAAGGTGGAAACAACCCAAGTGCCCAGCAATAGATGAACAAAATGTGCTATATACTATAGACATAATGGAATATTACTCAGCCATAAAAATGAAGTTCTGATACATGCTATAACATGGATGACCCTTGAAAACATGCCAAACACAAAAGGACAAGGCAAATTTGTAGACACGGCAAGTGGAAAATACTAAGGGCTAGGCAGAGAGGATAATGGGGAATTACTGTTTAATGGGTAGAGTTTATGTTTTAGATGAAAAAGTTTTGGAAATAGATGGTTGTGATGGTAGCACAATATTGTGAATGTAATTAATGCCACTGAATTGCCTACTTAAAAACAGTTAAAAGGTAAATTTTATGTTATATATATTTTACAACAAAAAAGAAAAACAAAAATAGAAATATGACTTAGCATTTCCCCTCCAAAAGAAATGAATATACATCCATACAAAAACTTGTACATGAATATGCTAGCAGTATTACTCATAATAGCCAAAAAGTACGAACAACCCAAAGGTCCATCAACAGAAGAATGGATAAATAAAATGTAGTGTGAAATAAAATATTATTCAGCAACAAAAAGGAATGAAATCCTGGCATATGCTACAACATGGATGAACCTCAAAAACATGCCAAGTGAAAGACGCCAGTCACAAAAGGCTCTATATGGTATGATTCTGTTTATATAAAGTCCAGAATAGGCAAATCCAGAGAGACAGAAAGATCAGAGGTTGCCTAAGGCTGTGGGAGTGATTCCTAATGAGTACAGAGCATCTTTTAGAGGCAGTGAAAATGTTCTTAAAATAGACAGTAGTGATAGTTGCACCACACTGTGAATACACTAAGTGCCACTGTGAATTTACTAAATGTATACTTTAAAAGTGAGTTTTGTGGTATGTGAATTATATCTCAGTAAAGCCATTACAGGGTAGAAGAAAAAGAGAAAAGAGAAAGAAAACCTTCCAGAAAAGCCCAACAAAAAGACATGAGGAAGAAAAGGTGAGAGCCTGAGGATCCATCCAGCAGGTACAGTGACTGACAGAAATTCCAGAGCCAGAGAACAGAATAAATAGAAGCGAGAAAATTACTTTTAAAAATTAATACAAGGTGACCGGGCACAGTGGCTCATGCCTGTAATCTCAGCACTCTGGGACGCTGGGCTGGGCAGATCACCCGCGGTCAGGAGTTTATGAGACCAGCCTGGCCAACACAGTGAAACCCTGTTTGTACTAAAAGTACAAAAAATTAGCCGGGTGTGGTGGCTCACACCTGTAATCCCAGCTACTTGGGAGGCTGAGGCAGGAGAATCACTTGAACTCAGGAAGTAGAGGTTCCAGTGAGCTGAGATCACACCACTACACTCCAGCCTGAGTGACAAAGTGAGATTCCATCTCAAAAAAAATTAAAATAATGATGGAGCCTTTAAGATTCTAAGGGAAAATTATTTTTAACTTCATATTTTTATGTTTATATAGAAATTGTATTTACATATATATATATATATATATATATATATATATATATATATATATATGTTTTTTGAGACAGAGTCACATTCTGTCACCCAAGCTGGAGTGCAGTGGTGGCACAGCTCACTGTAGTCTCAATCTCTAGGGCTCAAGCAATCCCCCCACCTCAGCCTCCCGAGTAGCTGGGACCACAGGTGGGTACCACCACATCTGGATTTTTTTTTTTTTAGTGAGATGGAATTTCACTCTTGTTGCCCAGGCTGGAGGACAATGGCACTCACTGCAACCTCTGCCTCTCAGGTTCAAGCGATTCTCCTGCCTCAGCCTCCCCTGTAGCCTCCCAAGTAACAGGCATGGGCCACCACGCCCACCTAATTTTTGTATTTTTAGTAGAGACAGGGTTTCTCCATGTTGGTCAGGCTGGTCTCTAACTCTCGACCTCAGGTGATCTGCCCACCTTGGCCTCCCAAAGTGCTGGGATTACAGGCGTGAGCCACTGCACCCAGTCCATCCAGCTAATTTAAAAAAAATGTTCTGTAGAGATAAAGTCTTACTATGTTTTTCAGGCTGATCTCAAATTCCTGGGCTCAAGCCATCCACCCACCCCACCTTGGCCTCTCAAAGGGCTGCGATTACAGGCATGAGCCACCATGCAGCCTTTTTTTTTCTTTTTCTTTTTTTGAGACAAGATCTCATTCTGTTGCCCAGGCTGGAGCGCAGGGCTCAATCATAGCTCACCACATCCTCAAACTACTGGACTCAAGTGTTCCTCCTGCTGTAGTCTCCACAGTAGCGAGGAGTGCAGGGATGCGCCACCATGACCAGCTAAATTTTCTTTAAAAAAAAGTTTTGTAGGCTGGCTACAGTGGCTCATGCCTGTAATCCCAGCAACTTTAGAGGCCAACCCAGGAGGATGGCTTGAGCCTAAGAGTTTGAGACCAGCCTAGGCAACACAGGGAGACCCTGTCTCTACAAAAAAAATTTAAAAGTTATCTGGGCATGGTGGCACTCTATGGTAGTCCCTTGTTGGGACTACCATAGAGATGAGAGGATCACTTCAGCTCTGGAGGCTGCAGTGAGCTATGCTTATGCCACTGCGCTTCCAACCTGGACAACAGAGTAAGGCCATGTCTCTTAAAAAAAAATTAAAAATTGGCCTGGCGCACTGGCTTATGCCTGTAATCCCAGCACTTTGGGAGGGAGAGGCAGGGCAGATCACCTGAGGCTGGGAGTTCAAGACCAGCCTGACCAACATGGTGAAAGCCCATCTCTACTAAAAATACAAAATTAGCTGGGTATGGTGGCGCATGCCTGTAATCCCAGCTACTTGGGAGGCTGAGGCAGGAGAATCACTTGAACCCAGGAGGTGGAGGTTGCAGTGAGCCAAGATTGCACCATTGCACTCCAGCCTGGGCAACAAGAGCAAAACGCTATCTCAAAAAAAAATTTTTTTTTTTAAATTTAGCAAATGGAGTATATTTTAAAAGTGTGGCAACAGGGAAAACCATTCTAGGAAAAACAAAATGTAAAAACAAGAAAATGCAAAAATATCCTGTTAGGCTCTGCAATAAACAATATTAACATAGTAAACACTGATTATTATTTAACCATAAACTGATATATACAGAGGGTGGAGGAAAGGGAGATGGAGGATGTGTGAGAGCTAAACACTCATCTATGCCTATGTTAACAGGAAATTAACAGTAATGATGATTAATTCCAGAGAGGAAATACAAGGTAACCAATAACATTTTTTAAAAGATATATATGAAGGCAAATACCAGAATATACAGCTAGTAAAAACTGAAAACAGGGAAAGGCCTGGGTTGGGTGGTGGGCTGGATGTTCTAATGTTCTCTCATCCTTGTCTCCATTTTGATTTTTTATCCGTTTTGATTTTTTAAAATATTGTTACTGTAAAAAGTTATTAGACACTTCCCTCAAAACAGTCCCCTGCACTAGTGGGTGTGACAGCAAAGCTGGGAATTGGCCTAGGGGATAGTGAAAACAATGACTCTGACATGCCCTCTGCATCATGAAAGGCTGGTATCCTCAGGGCCCCACTCCATCCCAGGTGTGGGATGCGGGTCCATGAAGACCTGTCCTTCCTGCGAGTGGAGGAGTAGCTCAATGGGAACCAGAGCCTCAGGTGAACCAGGTGGGTGCAGGTCAACAGCCTGGAGCGTCCCAGGACCTGCCTTCAACCACCCACTCTCCCTTCAAGCACCTGTGAATCTAGGCTCCCTACAAGTGTCTAGCTTTCTTGAACTAGTGTCTCAAGGGAATTTTTGGAAATTGGCATGATATAGGTAAAAACATAAGGGGAAAAGAAAAGTGTTAACTTCTTCCCATCCTGTTGAGACCCAGTTAGATCCCTGGTGCTTGGCACACAGAAAGCACTCAGTAAGAAGCAGTTGCCTGAGCATGGTGGCTCATGCCTGTAATCCCAGCACTCTGGGAGGCCGAGGCAGGTGGATCACCTGAGGTCAGGAGTTCCAGACCATCCTGGCCAACATGGTGAAACCCCATCTCTACTAAAATTACAAAAATTAGCTAGGTGTCATGGTGTGTGCCTGTAGTCCCAGCTACTTGGGAGGCTGAGGCAGGAGAATTGCTTGAACTTGGGAGGTGGAGGTTGCAGTGAGATGAGATTGTGCCTCTGCACTTCAGCCTGGGTGAGAATGAGACTCTGTCTCAAAAAAAAAAAAAAAAAAAAAAAAAAAGCTGTTGAAAGCATAATTATGCTCCCACCTTTCTGTGTCTTGACAGGTCGTCAGCCCCTTTACATGCATGACATTCAATCCTTACAACATGCTCACATAGTGATTGGAGGATTATTTCCATTTTACACATGAGGAAACGGGTTCAAAGTAAACTGACCAAGGTCACTTCACTAGTAAGGGAGGAGCTGGGATTCAAACTCAGGTGTGGCTGACCCCACAGCCTGCACAACAAGCAGCTGTCACTAGTAACCCTTTCTGGAAAGAGGTTTGGTTAAATAGGTGGATGGATGGATAGAAGAATGTGAAGAAAGGAAGGAGGGAGCTCAAAAACTAGCCCAATAAGAGAACCTAAGAGACCCTCCCCACTAAGAGGCTCAGAAGCTGGCTGGCCACCAGCTGGAGAACCAGCTATGCATACCTTCTTCCCTCACCCAAGGATCATCCTTGTCGCACCCACCTTCTTCAGAGAGGTTGTTCTCTTTGGTCTCCTTGTCCATCTGGCAGCACCAGCCTTCCAGCCGCTCTGTTTCTGCCTGCAGTAGCTTTAGGAACCAGTAGCCATCTCGGCGGCAGGCCCCTGGCTGTGCTGGCTCTGCTGGGGAGCTGGAGGAGGTCTCGAGCCAGGGGTCAGGTGGGGGCAGCGAGGATGCCTCTAGGGCAGGGTCGCTGTTGTCTCCATAGGAGAGGTTGCGCTTGATCTGGGCAATCTTGGGGGCCTGCCGTGGGCCAGCATCGATGCTGATGGAGTTGGGGTGAGGGGTACAGTCCGGGAGGCTCCTCTCAGATGACTTACAGCTTGAGTCATTGGCATCCTGGGTATCCGAGTCCGTGTCCCGTCGGGAGGACATACTGTGAGAGGGAATGCTGCTTCTGTGGGTAGGGGGTGGATGGGGTGGGGACAGGAAGGAGTGAGTCACCAAAAGGGCCAGAAACCAGAGGCTGCCCTGACCCGGACACACGGGAGACAGAGAAACGGATGCATCATCTGCTCACCATGCGCCTGAAGCGGGTCCCATAGCCCCCATCTCATTCTCGGCTCAGCCCTTGCCCCATCCTGCCCAAGCCCACACGCACACACACACGAGGACAAGGTCATAAGGTTGCCTGTTTACTGCAGTGGGGCCAGGAAGACCACCACCATCAGGGCAGCTGAGGCCATGTCCCGGCCCAGCCGTGGCCCTGTGGGTGACTGGTCTCACAGAACAAGTGCTCATCTGTCCCCCTACCCGCCCCCACCCAGCCTCCCATGCCTGGGCCACCGCCCGCACCCCAAACCCAGCTTGGTTATTAGAAATCCAGCAAGGAGAAGTGGGTTAGGGAGAGCAGGAGAGGTGAGAGCGAAGGGAGGGAGAGGAGAGGGGAGAAGCAGCGGCCACCTCTGTCCGACTTACCGCCAGTCGTCCTCTACCTGAACCCCGATGGACTGGAATTTGGTAGCGGGACTGGGCTCCTCTTTTGGCACTGGCTGAATGCAGTCAACCTTATTGAAGGACAACGACAGCAACGGCACGGAGACAAAGACAAAAATAAAAAACAAACACCACACTTACTGCTGAAATTCACATTAGTGGGACGACGCAAATAGACGTGTGGACAGACAGACACGAGGCATGCGGACACTGCACATGGGCCCGAGGCCGGACCAGGTTAAGCCGGGCACTGCTCATTCGCGCGGAGGCGGGCGGGCAGGTGGGCGGGAGGTGGGATGGGATGGAGATGACTGGCTTTCCCTACTCTGAGGAGGGTGCCATCACATCGATCGCTTTGGGTCCGTTGTCCTCCGAGAGGTGGGAACCGTTCCTTCTAGTCCTCTCCTTCACACGCATCAGAGAGAAGAAAAAAAAGGACAACGAAAGAGAAAGAAAACACACACACACACACACAAAGCCACAGCCGTTATCTGGTGTAGTTGAAGCTGGCGGCTGTCTTGAGGCAAAGACCATTCCCCGAACCCTGTGGCGGAAGCCCGGAGGGGCAGGCCAGAGGCGCGTGCACTAAGGGCAAACCCTGGACAGCAGTTACAGATTCAGAAACTGCCACCCAGACAGGAGCCACCGAGGTCCCTGGACATTATTCACACTTGGCTGAGGTTACCTTTAGCACTGGGTGGCCCTGGGGAGCAGCAGGAAGGTCTGGGGTCAGGGCCAAGTGGGAAGCTGTCACTCCCTCCACTCCTGTGGAGTGGAAGGAACATGGCAACAGTGATGCCCTGCGGCTGCCTTTCTTTTCTGGGTCGAAGGTGCCTGGCGATGGCGCAGCCAGGCCAGCTTTTCTATCATCGCCCAAGAATGAGGGAGAACCCACACTCAACCTAGGGCATGAGGCACCAAGGGTTCAGGGCATCTTCAGAAACTGGGGACTCTTCAGTCTCTTGGCCTTGTGGAGAGAAGTGGGGCCAGGGAAGCCTTCTGGGATGGGATACAGCCACATTTCCCCTCGGCAAAAGCCGGCACAAAAATGCAGTATCACTGGATCTCCAAGGAGCTGCAGTGAGAGCATGGAATGGGGCTGGGGTGAATCCAGGGAAAAAGACGCCCAGGACAGGCCTAAGAAAGTCCTTATCCCAGTGTCATTTTCTGGGTGAAAGGAATCAAGAGTGGTCCTAATTCTTAGGCTTTCCAGGAAGGTAAGAGAATCTGGTTTGGCCAAGAGGGTGGGGCTGCCCAAAGATCAGGGTCAAAGATCAGGCTACTCTCTGTTTCTGAGAATCCCACCTGTGCAGGGCAGGGGCTGGACACTTAATAAGCCCAGAAAGCAGACAGCAGAGTTTCCTGGCCAACTCTCTCCCTGTTTATATGTGGGGAAGCAGAAACCTAGAGCTACCTCTTGGGGGGAAACAAATCCAGGCAACTGCAAGAAATTGCTCAGTGAGCCTTGTCTGTTCCATTCAAGCTCCACTTTGTGTCCCACGCTCCTGCATTCCAGTGCTTTTGTCATCAGCTGGGCCACAGCCAATTGCACAGGGGTGGCTGGAGGAGACCCCTGCAGCCTAAGCCACAATGTACAACACCTCGTCCTCCTTGACTCATCCCCCTGGGCTTGGAAGGGCCCTGTCTCCCCTGTTGCCCTCACCCACTGTAGCTGCCCCTCCCTCACGGCTCTGAATGTGCCCTAGTTTGGTCTGCAGCTCCAGCCCGGGCAAGGAAAGTCCACTCAATTTGGATTTAGAGAAACTCTTAAAACTACAAGGCAGGGCCCAAGTTTTCCCAGCTCAGCATACAAGACAGATTACTGGTATCAGGTGCATGCAGGAGGTGCAATGAAGCAGTGGAGGGGAAACTGGCACACATGCCCTGCCGTGTGCCACGACTATGGAGGGCCTGCTGGCTTTGGTCACTTGGCCCTGGGGAACCACTGCCTGGACCCTATCCCATGGAGGGAGGCACTGAGACCAGCATCACCCTTCTCAATGACATGGGCCTGGTACCTCAAGCCACCTACCTGTCCCCAAGGCCCGAGAGGGCTCTGGGCAAAGTTTCCCTCGAGCAACCCCCATGGCTCAAGGGCCCTGGGTCCTGGGCTCCTGGCCCATCGGCGTCTATGCTCCATGCTGCTCCTGCCGCCAAGCGGGGCTATGGCCTCGCACCCGAGCTGACCTTGGATTAGAGAACTGTTAGGCCAGTCCCGCCTCCCATGGGTTGGCTGGCAGGGCAAAGGGTGGAGTGGACAGACAGACAGTGGACAGGCAAACAGTGGACAGGAGATGGCTGGCTGGGTGTAACTACATTCACTGGGACAACCCACTGGGGGAGCAGAAACACATGCCTGAGGCTGCAGGGCAGCAGCACGTGTGGGCAGATACCAGTGAGACATGGCTATGGTGGAATTCAGTTTGGCCACTTGGGGCTGATCCCCCCAAAATAGAGAAACAAACCACCTTTTCCCAGGAGACCTAGTGGGCCTCCACCAGATGTAATTACACACAGGCAGGTGCACGGAGCGGGCTGAGGACACAGAGTGCAAAAGGAGCCCCTACTTGTATTCCTATTGATGACAGTTTCCTTTTGGGGGCGGCCTCGGGGTGGGACTCAGAGCTGGTCAGCGTCCCTTGTTCACTTTTCAGAGCTGCATGTTTTGGGGGTGGCTCTGGGGCCTCAGGGGCTGGGGCAACTCCGCCCCGTGTCACGCTGGGCGGTCGGGTACTGCTGTCCAGGCTGTCCGATGAGTTGCTCAGGCCCGACTGGCTAGTCACCTCGCTCTTGTGATCCTGGCTGTCCAGGTAGGTGTCCTGGGCAGATTCAGTACTGCTCTGGACTGTGACTGAGATGAACGGCTTTGAGGTGGTGCGTGGAGGGACCGGTGGCGGGGTCTTCTTATAGGCCACTAGGCATGATGAACCTGCAGATGGATGAGAGAAGGGCAGGGGAGAGTGTGAGATGGTGAAACCTCCAACCTTCTCAAGCCCCTTCCAATGTAGAGGCCCTGCCTGACTTGGCCCTAGCTCTCTGGCCTCAGCCATTCCATCAGCAATGAAGGAGAATGCACATTCAACCTAGGGCATGAGGCATCAAGGGTTCAGGGCATCCTCAGGAACTGGGGACTCTTCAGTCTCTTGGCCTTGTGGAGAGAAGTAGGGGCCAGGTAAGCTTTCTGGGACAGATATACAGCCACATTTCCAGGATTTCTGGAGCAGGAGAACAAGAGTCAAGACAGCAACAACCAAGACAAACACACACAGGCCCTACCCACCCTCATTCAAGACAAAGTCTTGAGGGGATGCCGCCACTGGTCAAAGATATCCCCCACCTCACAGTCGCACACAAACCTATTATCCAGCTGGGTCATGACATAGGTGAGGTGTGTGGGGCCAAAAGGCTACAACAGACCTCAAGGTCACTGAAAGACTCTCTGCTCCCCCTGGCCTTTTCCTTCCACACAACCTTCCCTCTCCCCTATTACCTCTGCTTGTATGCCCCCTTTCCATCTGGTCAGAAATGAACACATCTGGCCAGGCGTGGTGGCTCATGCTTGAAATCCCAGAACTTTGGGAGGCCAAGGCGGGTGGATCACCTGAGGTCAGGGGTTTGAGACCAGCCTGACGACATGGAGAAACCCCGTCTCTCCAACACAAAAAATACAAAATTGGCCGTATGCAGTGGCTCATGCCTGTAATCCCAGCACTTTGGGAGGCTGAGGCTGGTGGATCACCTGAGGTCGGGAGTTCGAGACCAGCCTGACCAACATGGAAAAACCCCGTCTCTACTAAAAATACAAAATTAGTCAGGCGTGGTGGCACATGCCTGTAATCCCAGCTATTCGGGAGGCTGAGGCAGAAGAATCACTTGAACACAGGAAGTGGAGGTTGTGGTGAGCCAAGATTGCGCCATTGCATCCCAGCCTGGGCAACAAAAGCGAAACTCTGTATCAAAAAAAAAAAAAAAAAAAAAAAAAAGGAAATCCCCAAATTATATATTTTATGACTATTTTTATAACTTTTTTATTTTTGGTAGAGATGGGGTTTCACTATGTTGTCTAGGATGGTCTCAAACTCCTGGACTCAAGGGATCCTCCTGCCTCAGCCTCCCAAAATGCTGGGATTATAGATGTAAGCCACTGTGCCTGGCCTATAACATTCTTGAAATGACCTAATTATAAAGATAGAGAACAGATTAGTTGTTGCCAGGGGCTAGGGCAGAGGAGGTCACTAGACAGAAGGTGAAGGGTAGGGCAGGAGGGAAGTAGGTGTGGCTATAAAAGGGTAACAAGAGGGACCCTTGCATGAGGTGATGGAGTAGTTCTGTGTCTTGATTGTGGGGAAGGTTATCTGAATAAAATTGCACAGCACTAACACGCAAGTGAGCACAGTGGACCTGGGGAAATCTGAGTAAGACAGCTGGATTGTGTCTGTCAATATTCTGGATGTGACAATGTACCACACTTTTGCAAGATCTTACTATTGAGGGAAACTGGGTAAGGGGTACAAAGAATCCCTTTGTATTATTTCTTATAGCAGCATGTGAGTTTACAATTATCTAAAAATTTAAAAAAATTATTTAAATTAAATTTAAAATCATCCATCCGTTCATCCGGTAGACATCTATGAAGCTAAGGCCTTATACTGATTTCCAGGAAAGCCAGGAGCCCTCATCAGCAGAGAAACAGTTCTGCAGTGAGTTCTTTGAAAATAACGCATGCCACGATGTGAAGCCAGGAAGCTGGATGCTGTGCCTTGTGCCCAGCCTAGTCCGGAAGCGACAAAGTGGCCCAGAGTTCCAAGCCAGGAGCACTCACTTCCTACTATCTGTTCGAAATGTCTCAGTCCTGCTCAGGCCTTGAGAAAACTGAGGGATTCCCCCAGACAGATACCTGCAATCTCTGGTTACCAACCTAAGACCAGTGTGCAGGCAGGACAGCCACCTCTCTGGGCCAGAAGAAAGGCAGCAGGGAAGCAGGACGCAGGGCTCAGTTCAAAAGGAGAATGGAGAGAGGAGGGACAGGCCTGCTCAGTGAAAAGGGGCGCCTGCGTTCAGCTGGCCACAAGGCACAGGCTGAGGGCCAAAAGCTGGGTCATTTACTAAGCTGTGCTCAGCAGCTTTTCGGCTTTGTAGTATAAGCTTCACCTTGCCTGCGAGGTGGGGACCATGATTATGCCCACTTTGCAGCGGGGCCCATGAAGCTCAGGAAGGTTAGACAACTTGCCCAGAGTTGCAGGAGTAAGCAGCAGCCGCATCTGCTGCCCGGCACGGCCACCTCATTCCACTCTCCAGGCCTTGGGCCCCTCCTTGCTAGGCTGGGCTGCAAGTGTTTGGGACCTTCACTCATCCCCACACCCCCACAGCATCCCACTGGGCCCTGGGACCAGTCTTCAGGGGCATACCAACCCAAAATCTGACTGTGGAGAGTAGAAAGGGCCTCGACTGAGGCACAGTCCTGGCTTCCAGGCTCCTGCCTGCCCTCTGGACTTCTCGATACTCTCATCTGTTCCAGAGGCCAGGGTGGGAGGGGCTCTTACTGGGTCACAGCACACTGTATTCACACAGCCCTTGACAAACTCAAAGCACTGCCCCATTCATCCTCTCCCTCAAGGATGGGTGTGGAGCCTCCCATCACTGTGATTTCAGGAAAGATCCCTTCTGTGAATGCCCTCTCCACTGATGCCCGAAATTCTCTAATTTAAGAGTCATTTTCATGGTAAAGGTCCAGAAGCCAGAGGGCAGTGTGGAACCAGACTAGCCTGAGTTCAAATCCCAGCTCTGTCACTGACCAGTTGTATGGCTCCAGTTTACTCCTTGTAAAAAGGGCGTGATTATGTAGGCTGCATTGCAGAAGCTAAGGCTGGGCCAGGCCTAGGCTTGGCATGACTTCTCATTTCTGGTACAGAGACAACTGGGCCTGTGGGTAGGGTAGGGCAGGCCAAATTTCTACCACTCCCCAGCCACTGGCAGGGAGTCTGGCTGGTTCTCTGACCAGCCCAGGGACAATTTCCCTCAAGACCTGGACGTTTGTTTAGAGCAGCTCTTGAAATCTATGGCCACTAGTGCCCAGCAGAGACAGGAGTAACTCACTGAGGATTTCAGGAAAGGAATGAATTTGTTTGGCCTAAAAGTTCCAAACAAATGGGGTTTTCTGCCCTAGATCAGAACACTGAAGCCAACCCCGCTTCGCTCAAAATGTTGAAGGGGGTATATTCCCTGAGGAGGGAATATAGTTAATATTGGGGAGCAAGAACTGGGCACTAAGCCTAGCTTAGGCTGTGTGACACCAGAGTTCCTGTTCCCATCTGTGGGGCAGGGATGACACTGTCCATGAAGAGTCTGCATGCAGCATTCACCAGGGTCTGGTGGGGAAGAGGCACACCTTCTTCCCAACAGAAGACAACAGGACTGCCCACAGCCAGGGTCTGGACAAAGGACTGACCCTCCAGCCTTTCTCTCAGAACTGCTGGGCCCAGAGTTCTACTCAGCACCCTCAGAGGCCCTGGGCCCTGGCCCAGGCAGTCATCAAAGGGAAAGTGACCCAGCCAGAAAGCAAGTTCAGGCCTGATTCAGTAACAGGAAGGTGAGCTTATCTTGGATCCTTTATGTCTCCCAAGGCACACACGGGCCACAGCCAGGTAAGTGGTGTTGACTAGCATACAAGATTTTGGGGCTTCAGGGGCTCCCTGGGGGGCAGGCACCCCTAAGCTCTGAGTATTGCCCCACTGGAGCAGGAAGATGGGACCTAACCTTGTACAGGAGAGCTCTCATTTCAAGTGTATGACTGCAGGAAATACGGTGAGGAAATACCTCACCCCTACCTCTTCCAATAACTCACTCCAGCCACTTCCTCCCCCGTTGTGGTCTTTACACATGTTGTTCTTCTGCCTGGAAGGCTTCCCTCAGGTACTCACAAGTTTGGGAATTTCCTTCTCTGAGAGCCTCCCCTGACTTCCCTCTCTTCTTCCACCTGGGAATCTCCATCAGAGCACCAACCACATTAGTCTGTGGGCTTGGAGGAGTCACCTGACAGCTATGGGCCCAGGGCAATTAGGGGAACTCTGTCCTGACAAATCACGACACATGCCAGGGCTGGAGTTATGCCTCAAGCATGAAGGCTGTTAATAATTTGTGGAAACAGAAAATGAACCTCAGTATCACTACAAAAACCCTCAGTTGCCAAAAACCCAGATTATCTGGCCCTATAGCAAAGGCTCCCAACACTTTAGTATTCAAGGTCCTAGGGCTCCACCCAAACCTGAGCCCTTTCTGCTTGGTCCCTGCCCATCCATCTCGGCAGCTTCATCTCATGCCCTTCCTGCCCCTCAGCATACCCCTTCTAGCTTCAAAGAACGAAATGCACAGTGCACCATTCCCAAACACACCAACCTCCATGCATCCAATCCTTTAACGTGCATGGGTTTCTGCTGGAGCCCCCTTCCCCTGTCCTCCAGGCTTCCTGTCATCCTGCCAGCCCCTCCACCTCTAGCTCTGTCTGGCCTACGCCGGTTGGGCACTTGCCTTTCTCAAGCATCAGCTGGCGCACTCGGGGCTGTGGTCATGTCCCCCAGCTGAGTGTGTCCCATGTGTGCTGGCAGCCCAGTGCCCAGACTAGACGGTACACAGCCATCATTTGCCAATTAAACAATAGCGTAGGGGTGTCCAATTTTTTGTCTTCCCTGGACCACACTGGAAGAATTGTCTTGGGCCACACATAAAATACACTAACCATAGCTGACAAACTAAGCAAAAAAAATGCCATGATGTTTTAAGAAAGTTTATGAATTTGTGTTGGGCTGCATTCAAAGCCATCCTGGGCCGCAAGTGGCCTGTAGGCCGCAGGTTGGACAAGCTTGCTATAGAGGGAGGCAAGTGCCCCAGAGATCCAAGATGTTGGAACTGAGGAGCCTTGCATCCTCCAGG